AGAGAAAAAAAAAAAAACGTTTAGATCATTTAAATCGTTTGGTTTTGTTTGTAGTTGTGCACAAAGCTACACAATGGGCTATCTGTGTTCTGCCCACCACGGGTATCGAAACCAGATTTCTAGTGTTGTAAGTCCGCAGACATGCCGCTGTGCCACTGGGGGCTAAAGCGTTTGGGAACCACTGCCAACAGTTGAGTAAAGATATATATATTATACATGAGTTAATCGACCAGATTAGAAACCAAACAAGGTTGAATACAAACATTCTGACTTCAGTATTATGTAGACACCTATCCCTGTTAAAACAATACATTCGTAAATTCTGAGAAATAGTTCTCATAATGTGGCAATCAACAAGTCTTATAAGAAAATAGACTGAATAAAAGTATCACACCGATAGTAACTGAAATTCATTTGTTGATATTCAATGCAACCTCAGTTAGATTTTATAAAGAGTAGGAAGACAATCTACAGACAACAAAAGATGTAACTAAACTTTGGTAAGAGATATCTTTCTTCATTAGTTGGGTGTACTGTATTGGCATGATCTTAAAAACTATTCATGCAGTAAACAATCTTGACATTGCTACATTTCTTTGTTAATTTTGGTTAATAGATGTACATTGCTTATGTTAAAGATGAATTATCATAAAAACTGTTTGTTTGCTTTCATCTCTTATTGGAAACAAAGTTAATAACAATAAAGAAAAAAGTTGTCGTTCAGAAATGAGCACATGTAAGGTTGTAAACAGAATAATAACAACTTATTGGATCAACACGAACCTGGTAAAAATATTATTACATGACTAAGTGACATTAGACTTGTTCTGTTTTTGTTGAATTGTCTAATTTTGAAGTGATAGGTAAGATGGAAGACAGCCAATGACTCCACTCACCACCAACTATTGGGTTACTTTTTATCAACGACCACTGAGATAGACTGTATGTATTATAACCCTCCCTCGTCTGAAACAGCGAGAATGTTCGATGCTGGTCTTCGATCCCGCGACTAACAGATTGCCATATCAGATCAAACGATTTGTTTGTTTGTATGTTTGAAGTCAAGCAGAAAGCTACACCATGGGCTATCTGTGCTCGCACATCACGAGTATCGAAACCCGGTTTCTAGCCTTGTAAGTTTGCAGACATACCTCTGTGCCACTGGGGGGGGGGGGCAGATCAAACGAATACAATTCAAATGAGTTTGTTGCATATAACATAAAGTAACATAAAGTAACATAAAGTAACATAAAGTAACAACATCTTTAAAAATACAGCAATTACTTTAAATATAATTGTAAGTTAACATATTTACTTTAGCCACAACAGCAGTGTACATTTAACTGAATGATATGATATAATATCCAGAAGCCATTTTGATTCATGTTATTGAATCAACTCTTAAAAGTTAAAGGAATGTTATGTTTTTTATCCTGAAATCAAAGAAATTTTTATGTACCGAGGAATTAAAGTTTAATTTTAAGTGGAAGTAATAAAGACTTTAGTTCCACTAAAAGAATGCTTCATTTCTAACCAACTCTTCCATGACTTTTTGAATAATTAATCATATGCTAATATCAAACAAAGCATGGACTCCTGTACTACAACAGAAAATGTTTTATTTATAACTGTATTATAGTAAGCTACGATGAACTAATACAGGGAATCTTTTTGTATAAATCATGCTGAATTTCACCAATTAAATCTTTATTAATATAATATCTCAGTGAGAAGATGGTTTAAAAATAGGGTTCTCTGATCATTTTATTGATCACCGAAACCTTGAAAACGACGGCCATCTTTTTATTAATCTCGTGGAATAAGTTGAAAATGATGTTGTTTGGCATCCCAAGATATTTCTAATACGCCGTCGAAGTTTGGTTTCTCACCGTCAGGGAGAGCCACAGTGAAGCGCTGAAGTATGGATGTGAAGTAGAGAAACAATTCAACTTGTGCTAGCGTTTCTCCAGGGCAAGAACGTTTACCTTTTAACAAATAAGAACAGATTATTAGTAACTTGTGTAATATAGAAAATGAAAAAACAACAATGCAGATTTCATAAATTTGCAAATTGCTACATAATAATTATAACGATCCATTAATTAGGGATATTAATGCTCTTACAATAAAACTTGAAATATTATGAACATCTGATTTCTAACGGTTAAAGTATATGAATAGGAAAAAATCAAAATTAGCAGATAATAATATATAATTTTCTAAAAACCTGCGGATCCTTATCTCTCTTATCTTCAAGATGTGTTATGAACTTATGTGTAAGCAACACCAACTGAAGTTTAGAGAGGTGAGAAAGTAGCCATCTTATTTGTCAGTCTTTAAACGATTCTGGATTACAGTACTTTAAGTCATTAAACATTGATTGGAGTGAGCAGCTGTTTGTCTTGTTCAGCCAATATGGAGACACCCTATCATTACCAGGTGAAAACAGACCCACAAGATCACGAAAAGAAAGGGACCTGTTTGGCGTGGGATTGTGAAAGGAATGTAAAAAGCATAAGTTCAATAAAAAAGAATTATGAAGACTGGGAGATGTGTGAGAGAGATCGAATAAACCAAACGAGGCGATGGAAGAAAGTAATATGCTACCAGTAGGATACAAAATCAATTTTTAAATCTACGTGTTATTGATTAGAGTAAAAAAATTATCATGTTTACATTAGCACGAGTACCTAGATAAATTAAATGGATAAGAAAAACATTTTAAGTCTGAGTATAGCATGATTATAACAAAATTGTGGCAGAGCAATTGTAAAAAAAGTGGTGTCAGAAGGGATGTTCATCAATTTGTTAGGAATCAAAAGTCAAAAACGAAATTGGAAGCACATCAACAAAAACAAAAGAGGAAAGACAACAGATGAAGAATTGAAGTCAGGAAATATTTTTTTTTGTTCTTACCTTGCCTATTTTGGTTTAGACAGTGGTTCAGTTAAAACGTACCAGTTATAGATTGTGTGGCTCATTGTATAAGAGTGGAGAATTAAAGCTATAATGAGTGAGAATTGGAAATCACTTACAAAAATCATTTTGTAAATAAATGTATAGAACTGTACATAACTTGTAGTACCAACTAGAAAACTTTAGTTGAGGATGGAGTCACAATAAATGATTCTACTAACCTTGAGCTTCCTGAAAATACGGACTGGGAATGGTGTTGGTAAAGTTTATCATGGAAAAACTTCCAGAGCTAGAGTTAAAATACAGGCATAAACAGATAGGATATGGGTTGGTGATGAGTTAAATGCAGGGTAATACTGGTGATAGGGCTGACGTTCATAAAAAAAACACCCATGTGCAGTTGCCTAAAATTCGAAAAAGCGACATAGATGTATTTTTTCTGTGTTTTGGAAAAAACAGTGTTAGCAGAGAAATGTCAGTCACCAAATATGGTGAGGGAATCACTTCTTTTATTATCTAGAAAACAGCAAATGAAACATTTAAATGAGTATGGATCAAGACTACATGAGCAGTAAAATTTATTGAAGGATGAAACTGTACTGACAAGATTATAGATTTTTTGTTAAAATAGCAAATTTTGATCAAATTACAAACACAGTTAGTAATATGGTTAGAGATATCAAGCCAGCAAATGCACGTGAGACAGTGACGTTGGCAGATGAATATGTAGTGAAAAGGAAACACAGTGGATTAAAAGTAAGTGGAAATCAAGCTAGCAGAAGTACTTACCACAAACAGATATAACTGGATCAGCACACTCTGAGTGGTGTTGTAAATAAGGAGAGAAATTACAAACCTCCATCAAAATGCTTGATGTGTTACCAAGTTGGGCATATAGCCAAATTATTTAGGCAGAATAAAAAAATTGTGGAAAGAAGGGAGACTATGACGTGTTGTATTGAAGATAGAGAGAAAACTTGAAATAAATGTTTAGAAGAAATTGGGATAAGGGGACAAGAAATATTTGTAGTTGGAAAACTCTGGTGAGGAAAGTGTTAGTAAAACAGTCACAGGGTGGGGGATGGTATCCCCATCCAGGCTTGTTTGATAATGAGGTAGAAGCTGTCGGGTTAGAAGATACAACAGTAGCAGTGGTAACATATAGCCAGTACAGCTATGTAACAAATCAGGTTAGAGAGAACACTGAAACAGGGGTAGAAGTTAAGGAAGAAATAAGTTATTGAGTAAATCATACAAATAATGACGAAATTTGAACTGCTGTTAGAATAGGGAATGCTGGAAGAGAAGAAATAATAAATGGCAGTTAGAATATGAGAGTTTGGATATAACCCACAGTAAAGTTATCGTTGAGGAGCCAGAACCGAGAAACCTCCAGCAAAATTATTATTATTATTACTGTCAGGAAGGCATTAATACAATAAATGCTAAGGAACAAATATTACTCCCAAAGGAATGTAGACAGCCAGTATTAGAGTTAGGATACGGTTTAATGTTGGTTGGACATTTAGGCGTAAATAAAACGAAAGATAGGTTCATTGAAAACTATTACTGGCCAGGTGTGTTTGGCGATAAGGTTCTTATGTATAAAGTTAACAAAATATGTCAGCTAGCTGATAAGTAAGGCATCAAAGTAAAAAGTCCAGTAATTAAGTTAGCCGTTTAGTTCCGTTAGTGCCATTATTATTGGGCCACTTCCAGAAAAGAGCAAGGGAATAAATAAATTCTTACAGTGGTTGATTCTGATGTTAGACATGTAGAACCAGCAAAATGACATACATTCCACAGAAACAGAGAAAACAGTTGTATTCTCGTATGTAGGAATTTCTCAAGAACCGTTTTCAGATTTATGTAGCAATTCTCAATAAAAAATAATGAAATCTTTATGGCAGGCAATAGGAGTATAAATGAAACACCCTACTGCTTATAGACCTCAAAAAATGGGATGTGTGTGAGAGAGAGAGAGAACAAATGTGACAGTTATACCATGCTAAGACTAATGGTACAGGAGAATCATATTGACTGGAAAATGATATTGTTGTTTGTGCTATTTAAATATCCAGAAGTCTCCCAAGCTGCAACAGGATTTTAACTCTTTGTTACTATATGGTAGAGACAATAAGTGTCCAAAAACTTATCAAAAATAAAGTGGTCCAGAGATAAAGCCGAGTCACGAAATTTGTTATTAATTTGAGCTTTTACTACCATAAGGGGGCTGGAACACCACATTCAGGAGGTAAGGTCTTCTTATTCACCAGCCCCAATAGTAGGACTTTTTTCCTTTCTGTTTTCCTTTTTTATAATTTATTTTTACCTTGTTTCCTCTTAGAGCAGTCAACTCCTGAGAACTTTCTGCAGGTAATAAATTGAGATATAGATGTTGCACATCGTGGGCTTAATGGAGTTTTATAGCAGAAGAGTCTATTTCTGCTTATTTCCATCTCTGATTATTTTATTTTCGTGACATTGTTTGAGTTGTGGTTACTCCATCTGAATGTGTGGTATCTACACGTTTCACATTAACAAACTTTCTAAGTAACTTTTGGGCTAAGTGCCTCATGTTGCTTGGCTGCTATTGAAACAATTCAGTCATTCAGCTGTGATGTGTGTGCATTATCTACGCGAATGTAATATTCAAAGGAGTACAGTTTATTCAGGCAAATAAATAATTTTGTTTGAAATACTTAGATAAGATATATTTGTAGGAAAACTGCAATGACTGACTTGACCTGCATTCATGTAAAAACACAATGTGGTATTTGTTTTCTTAAAGCAGGGAAGGGATATTTCAGACTTGGATTCAAACTTAAATACTCAAGACATGTGATTTTGATTTAGTTGTTTTCTTTTGCAATTGGTTAGTGATGTCTTAATTTTGGTTAGTATTTCTGCATTTTATGCTCACTACTTACTAAAATTAAACTGTGCCCGACATCAGTAATAGATGAAAAGTTCAGACAGGGTCAGTCAACAGATATTAGTAACTTGTAGCTTATACTCATTTACGTTGGTAATTCTCTAACAAACAATAACTTAATTCTACTCTGTTCAGATTAAAGATCAAATGCCAGATAATTGTGTGTCTAGCCTAGTATTTCGTGGTAAATTACACTCCATGAATAAAAGTTTCTAACCAGTATGTTGTAATATCTAATACAGGTCGCCATTTATATTCTTTATATAAAACTTATGTTATGTTTTAATACGTTTCAAGCAGCTATTAACATATGTAAGTAAAATCATAGACTTAACAAGTATCACACATGCTGAAACATTTATTAACAAAACTTCGATTTAGAAAAATACGAGTTTATCCAAAATTTATCAAAAATGTTGTGTATTCATCTTGCCTTTGAAGATTTTAAGAACAAAATCTGTAAAATAGCTGTGATAACAATAAAGTTCTTGACAAAATATTTCACTTTTGTTGGTTGTTATGACAAAAGATATGGTCTACAAGAAAAGACATATCTTTTCTTTTACATTTTATAAATCCATCACGTTTAATGTACAGTGTTTACTATTACAGATTATACTTTACACTCAAAATATGTTGTTAGGTGTTGCATTCCTTGCTAACGAGATGAGCACTGGTACTAGGTGAAAGGCCTCATTAGGAGAGGTGTGTGTCACAAAGTGCAAATAGTCCACGAAATGAGCACTGGTACTAGGTGAAAGGCCTCGTTAGGAGAGGCGTGTGTCACAAGGTGCACATAGTCCACGAAATGAGCACTGGTACTAGGTGAAAGGCCTCATTAGGAGAGGCGTGTGTCACAAAATGCACATAGTCCACGAAATGAGCACTGGTACTAGGTGAAAGGCCTCATTAGGAAATCGGTAATAAAGTGTCAGCAGAAATATTGTCAGTCTTAGTGGTATGTATTCTAATATTCCCATATCTCTAATATTGGAGTGCTTCTTTATGCTTAATTGACTCTTGGCTGTGTACCTGGATGATCTTGGCATGAGACCTCAAGTCTGCCATTGAACACAGATCCTTGATAACTTTTCTTTTTGCCGTCGGAATTGACACTATAGTGGCAAGAGGCTTTGCATTGTACATCTATTTACCATCAAAAGAACGTTCTGATTGATGATTACAAAATTACTAAAAGAGTAGATAAATGTCCTTTCATCTGTACTAGACACCATTGTCTTAATACGACTCTAACTTAAGGAAGAACCATGTGATGACATACTATGGTTTTATCATATTTCTATAACTACATTGAACTTAACAAGTCTTCGTAACTCTTATGAAAATTTATTTGACATTTAAGATCTAAAAACTAAAACTATATTATTATGTTATTATGTGGCAATAATATTAATTTAAGTACAATAAACATGGTCTAGACATGTCTTACAGTGGTATTTTGGGATAACTATATAATCACATATAAACTGATATAATGTAAAAGGACATATATTTATTTTTGTAAACCATACCTTTTGTCGTGAGTTCACAGAACTTGCAAGCATACCACTGTATTGAAAATGTCTTCTATAGTATTCACTATACTTATTCTTCCAATGATAGAAGGATGTAACATCACAGTATTTAACACATTTTTCATTCTTTATATCATACAAGACCCTAATAGTGTTAACTCTGCCTTGTCAAAAACGTCAGAACTTCACATTTTTTTTCAGTTGAAGTAACTGGCGATTATGATCTTTTATGAAATATAAATGAATGAAAATTCATCACATTAATAATGTTGCTGTAACTACAGTGAATATCTAATTTCTGTAAATATTACATCGTTTACAAATTCTCAATAATTTAAATTTATTACCCGTTTTACATCTATATATATTATATCATATGAAGTATATTAGTTCCTGTTTTCATTATGTCAAAAATATTGCACGACAATAGAAGAGGTTGATTCTCAAGTTGAGGTCAATGACTGACATATGACAAATTAACAAAAGTCAGTAAGAGTGTAAAGGATTAGAAAGTATACATGAATTGCATATAACTGAAATGTATTAGACTTGCATGAAAGTTAATTTAATCTTGACTATCCATATTATATAATTAATATATGTTTTAGTTTGTATTCGTAGTAAATATAAAAGGTTATCGAGCTGTTACCTTGTCATAAAAATGTAACCCTCAGGTAAAATTCAAGAACACAACACAAAATTATAAGTTGGACAAGAGTGTTATTTCTTTATGAGTCTAAACAATTACATCTTGAAGAATTTATACTATGTGTAGATCTTGGTAAGTTATGTTTGTAACCAATGGTAGTTTCAAACTAAAAATATGTGATTTCTAGATCGAAAACAGAAAGACAGAAAATATCATCTTAATGTACTCTCAAATGTTGAAAACGTCATGAATGTACCTTTAACTCTCTGTAGCATCATGTAATGTGCAATAATAGATAAATTGTTTTTTTAGTATAGTGAACATACAATGTATTTTGGGCATAAAGTATAATCTGTAATGCAAAACGTGTTGAATTTATAAAATGTAAAAGAAAGAAATATATATATATATTTAGACCATATCTTTTATCGTAAAAAGCAGTAAAAGTAAAATATTTTATCAAGAACTATTTATTGTTATCACAGTTCCTTTACATATTTTGTTCTTAAAATATTCAAATGCGGGATGCATACACAATATTTTTCATAAATGTTGGATAAAGTCATCTTTTTCTAACTTGCAGTTTTGTTAGTAAATGATTAAGGATGTGTGATACTTGTTAAGTCTATGATTTCAATGATAGCATATCAGACTATGATGAAACATGAGATTTATATTAGAAATATCAAGAGAAACTTGTATAAGGTGTTCAAAAGTACTTGTTAGAAACTTTTGTTCATGGGAAGTAATATATCACGAAAGACTAAGCTAGACACACATTTATCTGGATTTTGTTCTTTAATCTCAACAGAGCAGAAATTTATTACTGTCAGTTGGTGAAGAACCACAGTAAGATGAGTATAAGTTATATTTTCCTAATATTTCTAGACTGACCCTGTCTGTACTTTTCACCAACTGCTGATGTCAGGCACAATTTGATCTTAGTAAGTATGATCGTAAAATGCTTTTGTTGTAAAGTACGATGAACTCAGTGAAACTGAAAAACAGTGCATTAACTTCTTCGTTTATAAACTATATTAAAATCTTACATACTGAACTGAGATTAACAAGTAGTAATATGGACACAATGTACAAAAGTTGTATGATTGTTAATCCAGTATTTTATCAACTAAGCAAATCACATAAGACTGATTCGTAACTGACAATTAATATATTTGATGATCTTTCAATAAGGTATAAGTAAAGTGAAGGATAATGCATAACATCTTATGGTAACATTGTTTCAATATCTGTGATAGGAAAATGTCTATTTTGAAATGCAAAATAGTAAAAACTAGATTTTCAGAACCTACAAACTGAAATATTTCATGCATTAAACACACATTGTGAATAAATAATACTGCTGGTATCACAAAATCATTGTTTGACTCTAATGCACATGTTTGAATCCTTTATTCATTTATTTATGTAGTGACATGTCTTTAGTATGATGTATTAAAATGTCTCGTGATAAATTCAGTGTTTGCTTTCACACATTTTTACACAATATTTCATGAAGAAATGTAGATTGTATCTGTCTGAAATAGTAATATGAACATAATGTAGAAAAATTATATGAAGCTAATCGAGTAACTTATAGGCTAAAATGTTTATGTACGTAATATATCTGTGTATGTTGAAGTTTTAATTAATGATTCAGTACATGTAACAACAGTCTTATTTAGAGTTTGTGATTTTACTGACATACATTGATATTAGAATATCTATATGGAGACTAATATGAGATGATTAAACACCTTTGTAGTAATGTGGATAATAAATTCATGTTGTCAAATTGAATAGAAAATATACAATAATTGTACGCTAACTAATGTGCATATTGAACATATCACATCAAAACTTGAGAAATAGAATATTATGAATACATGTTTAGTGTTTTGTATAACTATGTAAAGTGAAAGAATCAATAAACTAGGTTCACTAACTTTTAATTTTAGTGACATAAAAAAGCAATAGTTAAGTTATAGTATGGTGCATAACAAATTTATAATCTATTATTTTTGAATTTATGTAGAAAGCAAATGATTATATAGAGTTTGAACAATTTATTTTCAATGTTAAGTATAATGTATATATATATGAGATTTATGTCTTACTAATGAATGCAAAGTCATAAGTAGAAACCTATAATATGTATAATAATTGACTTGTTCAACTTTTGTTTTCATAAAATTTTCTTTTCTGCCATATTGAATTTTGGATTTTATCAGCCCCGCCCAGAATGGCCAGGTGAGTAGGGTGCTTGACTCGCAATCTGCGGGTCGTGGGTTCGAATCCCCATCACACCAAACATGCTTGCCCTTTCAGCCATATGGATGTTATAATGTGACAGTCAATCCCACTATTTGTTAGTAAAAGAGTAGCTCGAGGGTTGGCGGTGGGTGGTGATGACTAGCTGCCTTCTCTCTCTAGTCTTTCACTGTTAAGTTAGGGACGTCTAGTGTAGACAACCCTCGTGTAGCTTTGCATGACATTCACAACAAACAAACTATCAGCCCCCTCTCTTCTTAATAAAATGTCAACATTCTCTCAACTGTGATGAGTCAGGCTAAATATCCAATAGAGTTGAAGTGTCCACACCATTTGGTGATTGTATGTGTTGATCTTTCTATCACTTGCATTCATTGTTAATGACTCTGAGATAGAAGTGGAAAGGGCACCTATATGTAGTAGTTCGTCTGATGTTCAAGTTGAAAATACCCACAGAAAGGTAAAAAATAATAATTTTCTACAATGATAATGGTTAAACATAACTATTTACATACGGCATTTCAAACTAAACTTTACGGACTCAAATCAACTTATAAAGCTAAACATGAAATTATTCTATATTATTTAAATATTTAAATAAGCATCCTTTTCAGGACAAATATATGATATACAATATACTAGTTATATAAACAAATTAGCAATAATTGTTTTTATACAGAATATCGGAAAATACAAAAGTATGTCACACAAATTAAATATAGAAAAGAAACTATACTATAGTATGTTAAATGTGTACTAAATAGATACTTATATCATAATCAGATATGGAATAATAATGTAACAGTATAGTTCAATATTTATAAAAATGAAACATTAGGTGTGACAAAAACTTTCAGGATGTATAAAAATTAGAGAAGTGAAACTATAGAACTAATAAATTAGTGAAGGGTTTTACCCATACAGTGATGGATATTTATAAAAAGGGTATGCTGTAATATTTTCCTTGTTCAAATAATGGATAAACTAAGAATTATATGTGTGAAAAAAATATGACATATGTAACAGTGCTACAGTAGTTGTCTCGTTAAAATAATGGTTTTAGTTGTATTAGAAATGTTTATGACATGTTGAAATTAGTTATTAATTAATTAAAGTGTGGAGAACTGTTTTCCAGCAAGTGGACACAAACCATGAAAACATTCAGATTGATAGTCTAGGCACGTTGATCGCTAGGTCACCTATATCGCAACATGCTGAATATAGAAAATCTACCATAAATGTTGTTTGTGAGGTATTTGATGTAACTGAACTGAAGTGTGTTGTTAATCATTTTAAAATTAAAATAAAAACTATAAATAAAACTTAGGACTAATCTTACCAATAGAGAACGGAATGAAGTATTCAGGTTTCTCAAACTTAGTACCCTCTTGGTTTAGAAAATGTTCTGGAAAGAATTCACTGGGGTTCTTCCAGTATTTCGGATCGTTGTGAACAGCCCAAACGTTGTTCATGACAACTGTTCCTTTAGGGATGTTGTAACCTTGAACAGTTGTGTCTTCCGTTGTACTGTAAGAGAAAATTATTGAATGTAGAATTTGAGTAATAAACATAAAGTTTATGTATTTACATGTACTTGTATATCCACACAATAAACTTCATATATACACACACGTAAATATAAAGAAAACACAAATTTTAAATAAATGTTTTAGAATAAAGAATAATAAACTGTATGTGTAGAATTTCATTATTCTTTCAGTTGTTTTTTTACAACACTACTTATTTTCTGTTAGAATTTAGTATCTGAAAAAGAAATACTTTTTTATCCTAACAATAAAGGGGTCTCGGGCTGATAATGTTTTAGAACTCCTATTTGAAATCATGTTTTGTAATTTCATACTATTTGACCAAAAACATATAGTGTCGCACATTGAAGAGAGATGAACAAGAAACAGGACACAACTTAGTTTTCTACATTATATTGTGTACACTACTTTTTAACCGCGGCACATCGGCTAATAGAACAGCTCTGATATATTTTTTTTTCATGTACAAACTTTTAGCTCATAGCTCCGTCATCTCTCGACCAATTTGAGATCTAATTACAGTTTGGGACTCAGGAGGTCAAACCCTTTTGATTGATGTATTTGACCACACCCAAGGTCTCATAAATTAATTTACTCTAATCCTGCCTAAAAGAATGACAATTTGTGGGTAGGTTAGTAGAGATCCTGATGAGCAATAAAAGTGTATAGAGTATACGCGCTCCCCACGTATTGCTGACGCACAAAAATATAGCTACTAAAAAGATAAAAAAAAGGTATCATAGATAACTTTACTCTAATCCTGCCTAAAATAATTTCAAGTGCCGCGGCTATTTAGGATTCCGCCCTGTTCCTTTGAACACTAGTTTTACTGCCTGACCTTTATGTAATAGTATTTTTCGCCTAGCTGTCTTTAGTATATATAGATATATTACATACAATAAATATTAACTAACCCATATAATGTTTCATAGCAATCTCTTTTATTCGTCCGCTGCATACGAGAGATACCTTGGTTACATATCTTCATTTACTTCGATTTACAGTGTATGTTAAACTATTAGAATGTCTCACTTCGGTGAGACATTCTAATAGTTTAACATACACTGTAAATTAGTTTAACATACACTGTAAATGGAATGAGAATGTCTCACTTCCATTTACAGTGTATGTTAAACTATTGGAATGTCTCCGATGTTTAATATAATTATACCAACAATTCAGAACTGCAGAGAAGTGTAAGTAACGGCTGTTGGTAAGTTTTTAAAAAAACGAAAGATGTCAACTGACGGAATCCAAGAAATGAAAAATAAAACAAATAAAGTTAGAAAACTTCAGTTTCAAAAAGTAAATAGTAGTTTAAAATATGCATAAGTAAGCAAAAAAAAATTCGTAAAATATTGGTTTAAAATATTTTTAATTTAGCCAATCGTAATCCAGCAGGAACTACGATTCGAATACACAGGTCTTGCAACATGGTGAAATCTATATCACTTTATAAACCAGGACTCATTCCAGAAGAGGCTTATTTGTTCACAACTGGATAATAAATGATTTTCGTAGCATTTTATAAAACTTCTCACTCTTCACCAAATGTCATGATTATTACGTCTTGTAGTTAATTACATCATGTGAAATGTAAACCAACCGCTTAGTAGTTCGATAAAGTTACTCAGATACTTAATTGTTGTTTCTGTTTATCTTTAGTGATGAAATTATTTGTTCTACACTACAGCGTGACTTGTATTTAATATAACATGCAACGTTATCTGGTGCTACAAGAATATTTTTTAGAATCGTGCAAAGTTCAAAAACTTGATTTGAAACTACTTCGCGTGTTGCTGCTGGAGTGGATCCACGTGGAATAATACTTATTTCTGTTTATCACATTCAAGGATACATGTACTAAATATCACCTAGATTAGAGAGGTTTTTTTTTTGGAAAGAGAAGGTTAGATCGTCGTAAAGTTTATAGCTTATAGCCTTTTAAATCAAAGCGCATAAGATGGTTTCAAATCATAATTGTTTTAGAGTGTTTCCAGATTGTTTAGTTTTTCTATCATTAAGCATGCAGTAGTTAATAACAACGATAAGGCACATTTTACCATAATTGCCAATAGTATTTCATTTTTTTAATTGAATTAGAAATTATCAACATGAATATTCGTTAATTAGTCAAGTGTAAAGTGCCGAATATTAAGATAGCAGTAGTGTTCAGTAGGAAGAGCATAGAATTAATTTAAGGGAATGTAAACTTTCACACAGGCAGAAAAATAAATCTTTATAGCTCACAAAATAATCAAAATAAGCTTGGTTAAGTTCACTTCCTAGACATTTATAAAATAAATGTGCATCATGAAGGTTGTACTATACAGACGAAACTTGTGGCAGATTGTCATATTTAGAGGAAAAATAATAATAAGTAAAAAAGTCTCATGAAGATACACTTATACGACATGATTTAAATCATATGGGTAATAACTTAGGTACAAAAATTATCATATTTTTCAATGTGTATCAACATGAGTTGAAACTGTTTTCAGTGATAAGATTGATGATCATGAGAAGAGCCTGGATCAAAACTCCGTCCGTGATTACATTGACTCGTTCTTGCTGGAAATAAAAGATCGCGAAAAGACAAATAACACGTCATCTTTCACCTGTAAGTATAATTGTCCGTGTTAAATAAATAACAAGACTTAATACTCACGTTCTGTCTCAGATGACGAATATCTTTGATGTACTAGTCTGAATATTCTGTATCATACGAAAAATCACGTAGTTAACGTGTACTATATTTAATCTTACACTGTATAAGTGTATCCATCATACTTACACTAAATATTTGCCGTTGTTTTCCAGATAATATGCTAAACGGAAATGTTCGAGGTTTTTTTATTGGTGGGAGCAGCACCGTGCGGACAACGATAGAATGGTGTCTTCTAACTATGGCCGCTTACCCGGATGTACAGAAACGAGTGCAAAACGAGATTGACAGTGTAATTGGTAGAGAAAGGTTACCATCCTGGGCTGACCACCTACACCTTCCTTACACTCAAGCTGTTCGTCATGAGGTCCAAAGATGGCAGACTATAGGACCTCTCGGGGTTTTAAGATAGCAAGTATTTTAGTTTTCTTGGAATAGTATTTTAGGTAGTTCACTGTAAAATACACAAGTAACGCAAGCTGATGATGCTTAGAATTTAATTTTAAAAAATAGACACAAGACTTTACGTATTTACTGATAACAAACCATGTAGCTACAAACAATATTGCATTGCAAATCTCCACGAACTATAACTACTTTACAGATATCATTGTTGACGTTTGAAAGAAGTAGAACTTATTGTTTGTTGGTGAAGCACGTTTTCTAGATTTAAACAACAGAATAAATGTTGGCGTATAATTAAACAAAGTTTACAACACATTGGAAGTTTTCTGTGACTACATCTCGTAAAAAAATATAACACTGATTGCTTTTTTTGTCTTCGAAAGATCTTTTATAAAGCTTTGATTAGCTCGTTACTTTGCACAGTCCTGTAGTGAAACACTCTACACTATATTACCGGTATGATTGGATTCAAATTTTCTTCCTTATTCATTTGATTGCGTTTTTTACGTAGTTTTTGCTACCTATTTGCCGTTAGCAAAAACACCAAAACATTTATAAGACATGATATATTTCGATTTTTATCATTAAAACATTATTTTTTTGTCTAATACCAACTATTACCACACGTACACAAAGAAGAATTGTACAGTAAAATGGTTTATCTTACACAGCAAGAGATCAGAAAATCATATTTCATGAAAACTGTTTTTTTTTTAAGTTTCAAAATATGTTAACATCGCAGGGTGCTCTAAGTTTATGTTACTAAAGTGTACACTACAAACATTTCAACACCTGTCGGGTAAGCTATCAAAAATCTGCACGTAAAATTCTACCTAATTACAGCAAACTGAGGGTCACAACATTCTATAGCAATAATTCATAAACATCTTTTAACCCTCGTTTTGTTTGTAGTTTATTAAGATGATCATCATCTTCTTCTTCATGTTTTGAACCAAGGAGGGCCAGCTTCAGCGTAGGCCTCTTCCTCCATTTAAGGTTATGTACTCCCAAGATAATAGTAACGAACTACAAGTATACTAGAGGTCGCTATCATAGACATTTTACTATTAAATGTCCTTAACATTTATTCATTTTTTATAAAGCAAAAACTACGATTATTTATTTCATTATTGTCACTATATACAAATAATACTGTTTATTACTTCATGATTTAAGTTTAATGTATTCGTTGCTTACCGAACAAATAAC